TTATTCTTCCTGGCCTCCTGCAGACCTTTTCAATTAAGAAAATAACTTGTTTTATTTTATTAGAAGTTGACATGGCTGAATTGCATGAGTAAGTGGTTTATGTTCTTCATGTGTCTACCATTTCCTTCTACCTTCTCTACTTAGCAGTTTCTGCCCTGTCTTTGGATTGTTTGCTAGTGATTTTCAGAAATCAGTTGATTTACTGAAAATTCTCTCCCTGGGCCCTCCCACAGTGTTTAGTAATAGTACTTAGATATTCATTGTAAACTTTCTCGTTAAGATTAGTTTTTTTTTTTTTTTTTACAGTTTTTGGCCAGGGCCCCGTTTGAACCCTCCACCTCTGGCATATGGGGCTGATGCCCTACTCCTTTGAGCCACAGACGCCGCCCTGTTTGTTTGTTTTTTTGAGACAGAGTCTCAAGCTGTCACCTTGGGTGGAGCACTGTGGCGTCACTGCTCACAGCAACCTCAAACTCTTGGGCTTAAGCGATTCTCTTGTCTCAGCCTCCCAAATAGCTGGGACTACAGGCACCCCCCACAATGCCTGGCTATTTTCTGGGTATAGTTGTCGTTGTTTGGTGGGCCTGGGCTGGATTTGAATCTACCAGCTCCAGTGTATGTGGCTGGTGCCTTAGCTGCTTGAACTATAGGTACTGAGCCAAGATTAGTTTTCCAGATTATAATATATGCATTATTATTTTCAGGAAGTTAGAAAACATAGATAAGCAAAAAGAACATAAAGAACATCTATACCACCCAGAACCTCTGCCACTGACACTTTGGGTGTCTATTATTTCAGACCTTTTTATGTTATTTGATTTTTTCTTTTTGAGACAGAGTCTCACTTTGTCTTCTCCTGTAGAGTGCCTTGGTGTCATAGTTCACAGTAACTTCAAATTCGTAAGCTCAAGTGATTCTCTTGCCTCAGCTTCCTGAGTAGCTGGGACTACAGGTGTCTACCACAGTGCCCAGCTATTTAGGTATAGGGTCTTGCTCTTTCTCAGGCTAGTCTTGAACCTGTGAGCTCAGGTGATCCACCTGCCTTGGCCTCCCAGAGTGCCAGGATTACAGGCGTGAGCCACTATTATTTGAGTTTCTAAAAAATTTATAGTGTAGGTTTGGCGCCTATAGCGCAGTGATTACGGCGCCAGCCACATACACCAAGGCTGGTGGGTTCAAACCCAGCCTGGGCCAGCTAAACAATAGTGACAACTGCAACAAGAAATAGCCTGCCGGCTCAGCGCCTATAGCTCAACCGGCTAAGGCGCCAGCCACGTACACCTAAGGTGGCGGGTTCGAATCCCCAG